TTAAAAGCTTAATATACTTAGTCTCAACAGCTTCCAGTTCAAGTGAACATTGATGAAGGTAGCCTTTGGATTGTGTTGAAGGTTAGGTAGGGATGTCCAGGCGATGCAGCTGTGTTTTGTCAAGAAAAACTTCAGGGTGGACCCTAACCAGAACCCTTCGTTCAGCAAGGATCACACACATCAAGTCCCCCTGGGTCTCATGCAATTGCTGATCACTCAGATGAAGTGCTACATTGTTTGAAGATGCCATGTGGGAATGACTAAGCAGACAATACATTGGGGAACCATATTCACACAAATGAACACTACAATAATAGTCTGTTGCTCTGAAAACAATTTAAATATGTAGAAATAAAGAAAGGCTTCCTATATATTTTAAATTCATTGTGAAATAAGAACAGGCATATCTTCTAATAACTCTAACAAAACCAGTGCAGGCCAGCTTGGGAGGTAACACAGCCAAACAAATGAATGGTTGGCACAAATACGGCGTATGGGATAGAGGCTCTGTGTTCTAAGCAAAATGCATAGCACAATGTTGTATATAATGCTATTTTGATGTTCTGTGGCAGATATTTAAGGGCAGGCTTCAATACTGAATCTGAAGTAACTTCAATAGGTTTAGTGTTCATAAGGGTGATGATGCTTCAAACAGAAATTAAGCTCTTGCATTTATTCTTATCCTTCCAAAAATTGTCTGAAGCAATTCTGAAAGGCCAAGGGCTACCATAGAAATTGTTAATTAGAGTATTGTGAGAGAAATTTTAAAGAGTGAGATGCTTTTCTGTCAATGTTCCATTATTCCATGTTCCCCACACTGGTGGCACTCACTGTTGACTTCAGATGGAAATGAAAACCTGAGGCACTCTGATATAAATAGAATATAGACATAAGAATTATATAAAAAGGAGGTATAGATTAGTGTAGTATCTGATACAAATGATGATCTGTAAAAGTATTAACAAATAAATGGTTACATAGATCAAGAACATTGCTGCTTGTCCATTCCTTTG